CGTAGTTTGTGGCTGAAAAAAGAAGTAATTTCAGGTTGGTGTGGGGGCTTGTTTTTCAATTTTTATTTTTGTTTTTGTATTATTGTGAGAAACTATGTGAATTGTAGCTTTTATGGGGTAAAATATCAATAATCAGGAACTTGAAATTTAAGTCTTTATTAGTTGATATTTTTCTCTCGTTTCTGCGTACTCTTAAAATATAGAACTCCAACTTAACAAGCTAACTAGTTCCACGGTGACTGAGATTCTTTTTTTTTTTTTTTCCTTTTGTTTTTTGGTGAAAGATTCTTTTGGTTTCTGCCTATGGAGTGACAGCAAAACTAGTTTCATAACGTAGCAATTTTCTTGTTTTGGAGATCAAAATCGGAGAAAGGTTCGATAATCTAGCACTCTTATTTAGACCCCTGTTTTGAATCTCCATTTGAGGGTAACATCAACATATGGAATGATAAGCAAAATATTTTGACAAATATTATCTCAATTCTCAACTCGGAATGTTGTCCACGGAGAAATATGGGGAAATTAAGTGGAGTGTGCGATGGTGGGATACGGGGTACAGATTAGATTCTGGAATTATCAAATCTAATTAGAAAAAATGGGTTCTCATTTTTTTTTTTATCATTCACATAGATTTAAAGTCATAATCTCATACTTCAACGATTATAACTCATTCTACTAGAATTCAGGCATGATGGTTGCATAGGGCAGATTTTGTTGCATCATCTGCCCAACACCCCTCTGTTTTTGGCAATTGGCAATATCATCATTCGCTCGTCTTCCGACCAGGTATTTTTGTAGGCCTATTTACCTTTGGAACCTAAAATAATGGTGGCTAATTATAAGTACTGATTTATAAAAATTTCTTTTAATTATAAAAGCTAAGTTAATTAACAAAAAATTTTTGACTTTAAAATTAACTTACTTATTTTTAAATATAAATACTGTTAATTTATTATTAATGAAATGCTTGATTTTTTTTAATAAAATTTAAGATTTTTTTTTTTTGGAGAAATTCCATGTACATTTATAGGATAAAAGATAATGATTACCTTTATAAAAATATTTCTAAAAAAATAATCCGTTAAAAAAGATAAATGTTAGATAATAATGGAAGAAAAACACTGGAGTGTTTCCCATTGCCACCACCAGCAACTGTTTTAGTTGCAGAATTCGTAGGGAAAACAACGCAAATCTACCTTTCTGTCTGCTACGGAGAGATCGAGAGAGAGAGGGAGGGTGGGGTGAATGGAGAATCTATGGCGTGCTGCGACGGGTCAGGACCCGAGACCTGAAGACTACGATGGAATTGAGTTCTGGTCGAACCCTGAGCGAGCCGGGTGGCTCACCAAGCAAGGCGACTACATCAAGACCTGGCGCCGCCGCTGGTTCGTCCTCAAGCAAGGTAAGCTTTTCTGGTTCAAGGACTCCTATAGCGTCTCCCGCTCCTCGACCCCTCGCGGCGTCATCCCCGTCGGCTCTTGCCTCACCGTCAAGGGCGCCGAGGACATCGTCCACAAGCCCTGTGCCTTTGAGCTCTCCACCGCTAACACCACCATGTACTTCATCGCTGACACCGAAAAGGAAAAGGAGGAGTGGATCAACTCCATCGGCCGTGCGATTGTTCAGCACTCACGCTCTGTTACGGACTCCGAAGTCGTTGATTACGACAGCAGACGGTGACTTCGTGATGCATGATTTACAGATGCCCTCGATTTGTGTGCATAATTTGTCTTCCCAGTTGTAAAATTTCTCATAATCTTATGGAATTTGTTACAATTTCAACAATATGTTGTGTGCCGGGTGTCTTGGATTTTTTTATTGATGTATAATATTTTTGGAGTTGATCTCATCAATCTCGTTGGGTTTTTCCATCGCTTTTCTGATTGTTCTGCTGCTGGAGTCGGTAGGCATCCTTCGTTGCATCTTGCAGCACATTCCGCTGAGCTCTGATTCAATTTCCATCTGGAAAATTATTGACGCCCAATCATTATCCTTTTATTTGATTGTTGCCGTTTGATTTACTGCCCCGTCTCGACTCTTCTAAAAATTTTGTGGATTTTTTTCTTGTTGGTTATGACAAGTTGTTTCATGGATCCCATTATTCCTTTTTTCTTTTGATTTTGTCTCTAGAGTTGTGGAAGGTGATCCCGTTGATCCAATGTCTGTTACTGCTTCTGTTTCCATTTTTTGTGATGGCTGAAATCTTATGATAACCTTAGTGGAAGTTTTGCCATAATCTGGTGTAGGAGTGTTGGACAATCTTCTAATATTTCTTTCCCAAGCCTCGTTAATCCTCTCTAGCTTGTCTCTCAGTTTTTGCTGCATTTTACTTTAATCTACTAGCTTGTTCAGTTTTTGGCTGAAATCTTAGGGTATTGCTTTTGTCTCTGACAAAACGTGATGCTGCTATTTGCTTTAATCTACTAGCATGTTATTCAGTCTTAGCTGCGATTTAGTTTATCACGCTCTCCCTTCTCCTGTTCTCCCCTGAATTGTATTTATTTCTTATATACGGCTGCGACTCTGCGAGCAACCAGTTTTTCCCCCCTTAGCCAATTAGTTTCAACTTTCGAGTGTCCAGTAGTTGGGGTTCTCTTTCCTTTCTTTGTTTGTATCATTAGAAATTTCTGTTTATCTCCAATGTTAAAGTTTCTTGATGCCTTATTTTCTGAATAATAAAAGTACTTTACTTTGTGCCACATACCTCTTATACTCCTTCAGGTTGATACACCAAATTAATTATGCTTAAAACCCAGAATTTGACTTCTTGATCTCTCTGCATTTCCTTTGAACTTAAGTCATGGAAGATTTCAACGTGTTCTTTTCTGTCTATCTCTGGAAGTGTCATGTCTGTACTGAGGAAATTCTAATCTTACTTTGCTAGTTGAGGTCTGTTTTCATCGCACAATCAGTTCACTACATCCTGTGCAGAATTCTTTCTTCCCAGTGGATGGAAATTTTAACTTGGATCTCAAAAATCCCTGCTTGCCTCACATGTTCTACTCATTTGCTTTAAATATATTGCTTCTGACTGTAATTGACATGGAAGATGCCAAGTTTATATGACGTCATTTTATGTTTGAGCAACTGTTTGTATGGCATCGTGTTGTGTTTGAGCAATTGAGAGTAATGAAGTGGCTTATAGGTGTTTTATTTCTGGTGACGGGCCCTGAGGCCATTGTTGGTCATCATAGACAGCCTCTTTTAAGGCCTCATTTGGGAGAAAGGAGAATTGGAGAAATAGAAGAAAAGGAGGGGAGTGGAGGGAAAGCCACCCTATTTTAAAAGCACCTTAAGGGGGACCAATTGCATAGTATCAACTTGCTTCTCCTATCACCTATAGGCAATCCTGAGATCTTTGTATGGGTGTGAGGTTGGCTGGATGAGGAGCAATGGTTCATATATTTTTCTGGATGGAGGACCAGGGTTACGACAATTGGGATTTAGGACATTTGATTTCGTTTCCCCTCAAAAATTGGCTATCGGATTCTGAAGCAGTTTTCAGTGGGAATAGCATTGGCCCTGTGCCGGTAAATTTCTTTGTTCTTAGAAGTGAAGGGACTTCTTTACCATTTCGATATGGAATGATATAACATGCTAGCTATTATGCATGAATTGTGGTGAGGGAATTTGCCAATTAGGATTGTTGCAGGGGAATGTAGATGTAATGGAAGCTTTGGTTTGTAAAGCCCACCGTTGTTATCTCACATAGTAAATTATCTAGACCAATATATATTGAATGGTGTATCCTGATATTTTACTTCTGCTGATAAAGGTAGATAAGAAAATGCTTTATTTGGGGAACCAAAATCTTTTTTTTTTTTTTTTAAAGGGGGTGGAGTGTTGGGGAATCTCGTCTGAACCGAGTTGAGAGTTTTTTGCTTCATGCAGTGATTTCTTACATGCTATTGTGCTTAATTTCTCGTGGTATTGAACTGCTGGATAAATTCTAGTTCTTATCTGGTTGTTATAGTTATCGAGTCGTGTTCGAGGTGATTTGATCCCCTGTCATCCAGTCCTGAGGACCCAGCCTTCTGTTAACTTGCTGATTCTGCTTGCACTGCCTTTCTCATTTATTTACAGGACAATTTGAATATTCTGGAGATTCTGTAGTGTCTTGTTTTTTACTTTTTTCAAATTTCTGATTGAACTTTAGATATAACTATCTAATTGGATTAATTCGAATATTATTGGGCTTAACTGACAATAACTCTTTCAAATGTTTTTGTTTTTTTTCCATTTATACATACTGGAACACGATATCTTACATTTAAGTGGTCACAATCCCTTGTATGATATGTCTGATTGATTTGCTTCCTCTCGGGTTATACTTTTTATGGGAAGCGCCGTTTTGGAACTGCCTCACTGTTTTGTGGGTATCACTTTTGCAAAATCCTTGAAACTGCTTTGTGCATATACGAGTGTTCTGGTTTTCAATTTGGTAAATTGGTTAGCAGTCAGTTGTGTTTTCTCAGTTAATTAGATGCATGAGTTGTTGAGGACTCACATCACTTGTAGTTTGAGTTTGCAAGAAAAGCGCAATCAAAGTGGAAATCTAATAGTAATATCGCAAGGTCTGTTTGGATAATCCTTCATTTTATATAGTGGCGGAAGAAAAAACTGCATGTATATAAATTAGGATCATTTTTTTACACTCACGGACCTGTGATGGATTTGTTAAAGCAGGAAACATTATTTCGTTGAAGAAAAGTTAAACTAAATAGTTGAGCAGGAATTGAGAATGCAAATGGAACACGTATTTTCAAGGGGCTCAGCAAAATGTCTTGTTTCCAATTGATTTTCCGCCAAAAACAAAGGAATATGGCATTTGATCATATAAAATGCTCCCAAGTCACGTGTTTAATTGCATGTCTCAAGTGTAACATTTATACATGACACATGTAAAGAGAAACTCTTATCGATAATAAATTAATTATCATGAAACTACGTGATACATGACACATGTAAAGAGAAACTGAACTAAATAACAACCGCAACATTCTAAAAGATTGGAGAAAGGCACATAGTTAAACTTTTGAAATAAAATCACTAGACAATGTGCCTGATTGGATAACATTAATAATTAATTTTAGAAGCCAAAACTATAATTTTATGAAGAAAATATCAAAACACTCATACTAAACATCAAAATCAATTATGAACTCCATGTATTGCCTTTATTTAACGAATGAAGTGTTAGTGAAGTTGTGTAAAAGTTTGAGTTATAATCTCTGCATCTTACCAATAAATGATACATGCTGTAAAAAGCCGAAGTTGATGCACAGGAGGAGGCAAGCGTTTGGATTTGCAAAATGGTCAACAAAACTTAGAATTTGAATACCTTCTTCAACAGTGGAATGCTAAAAAAAAAAAAACGAATGTTAGACCGTTCTCGAAACTCAATCAAGATTACGATCTCTAAGGCGAATATAATCGGCGTAAGATAGAGGGAAGTTTTCCTCTTGATGAGAATAAGCAGAACCTCCATGGGTTGAGATATCAAGGCCTGTAACTTCATCGTCTTTGGAGATTCTTAACAGCCTAAGCTTGTGCAAGGCATAGAACAAAGGGCCCATGGTAACACTAACCCAACCCAATATAGATAACAATTCAATAATTTGGGCTCCAATTAAAGCCCATCCACCTCCTAATAGAAGCCCATAGGGTCTGGTAACCCCAGTCACGCCTTTGTCATAGACTTGAATCACAAACTCTTCCTTGGCAAACAATCCCGTGAATATCAAACCCCAAGCCCCACACCCACCATGTAATTGGGCCGCCTCTAATGGGTCATCATAGTTCAATTTCAGGGCCAAGATATTGAGCCCAATCAGGACCCAAGCTGAAACAAACCCACAAATAATGGCGGCCCATGGCTCAACAACCGAGCATCCGGAAGTGATAGCAACAAACCCCCCGAGCAACCCGTTGCAAACATCTATTGCATCCCAGTGGCCGATTATTAATCGCCGACCAAACAAGGTTATGATTCCGGCTGTTGAACCGGCTAATGTAGTCACAACCGCAGTTCGACTGATGGAGGTCCAATTACCCTCGTCGGATGTGTCAGGATACGATAGAAGAATCTTATCAAATGAACCGGGATTAAACCCAAACCACCCAAACCACAAAAGGAACGTTCCAAGTACCACGAGACTTGCATTGTGGCCTCGGAATGGCACTGGCTTGCCGAACGCGTCAAACCGGCCCACCCGAGGGCCTAATATGAGCGAACCCCAGAAACCAGCTACAGCACCAACCAGATGCACCACTCCGCTCCCAGCGAAATCAATGGCACCTGACCCCAGAAACAAATGGCTCGACCCAGTACTGAGCCAGCCGTCGGAGGACCAGACCCAATGGACCACAACTGGGTAAACAAAGCCCGTGAGAAAAAAACTGAAAACGAGATAAGCACTGAACTGGGCTCTCTCAGCGATAGACCCACTTGTGATGCCTGCTACGGCTATTGCAAAAGCCCATTGGTAAAGATAGAAACTGTAATCGTAAGTGCCATTAGGAATGCTAGCGAGAGCAAACAGATTAGTACCGATGAAAGGGTTAGAACTGGCGCCGTCGCCGAAGGCAAATGCGAAGCCGAAGAGGTAGAAGGAGATGCTTCCAACGACGGCGTCGACGACATTGGTGAGCATAATGTTGACGGCGTTCTTAGCTCTGACAGAGCCGGCACAGAGCATGGCGAAGCCGATTTGCATGACGAAGACGAGGTAGGCAGAAAAGAGGAGGAAGATGGTGTTGAGGGAGTATGTAACACTTTGCTGCCATGAGGCCTCCATGAGTAAGGGAGACAAGGAAGAAGCAATGAAAATAGAAAGGTTGAAGATAATTTGATTTGATAATGCGGAGTGTGTATGGGCGTGGTGGGTTTGAAAAGTAGTTAAGGAAGATATTGAGGATGATTTTATTTGATGACGAAGAACTATTTTGTATTTTGTTTGTTTGTAGTTGAGGAGAGTTTGAAAGGTAGTTACAATAAGCTGTCAGTAAGCAAGCGGGCGTTCGCCTGTTTGGTGAATGTATGTTGAAGAAGACGAAGAAAGGTAGTTACAGGAAGATGGAGATAAAGAACAAGAAAATTCCGAGAGGGAAGGTAAAACTGAAAACTGAAAAGAAAGAAACAAGGTGGAGAAGATGCAGTTCTGCCCCTGATTTGCCATGGAGAAAGTTTATCGAGGTCACCGTGCTGCGATGTTGCTCCAGGGGATTTTTGCTTGAGAATAATAAATATATTAAAAATATCAAAAGTCCGACAAGAAAAAACTGAGGAAGCAAGAAGTTATCAAAATTCAAAAGTTTGAATTCCGGTGCACTGACAATTTTTTGAATTATATATTTTGAAAAGTGTTTTTGAATATAATATTAATAGTAAAGATTTTAATTTTTATGCTTTATAATTTTTGCTAAAAAATATGTGACTAAAATTTTAAATAATAAAAAAATAAAAAGTTTAATATATTATAGAAAAAATATATAAATAGTTCAATATATTTTTTTATCTTTAATTATAATATCTCATCCCAATTTATAATATACTTTTAGAAAAATTTGACATTTCAAAATATAAAATGTTTTAATAAAAAGTAGATTTTACTAATGATATTTTTCTCATTATATTGTTAATCTCTTTAATATTCTTTTATAAATAAAATATTAAATGAAGAGTCTTTTTAAAAGTTTATATTTTTATTTTAAAAAAATAAAATTATCAAATGCATTTTTGTACAAAGGTGTTTTATAAATTGAGATGGGAGAGTATAATATTAGTCATTGACAAAAGAACATAAGGAGTTGAAAGGTAGCATGATAAAATCAAAAATTAAGTACACACTTAACTCTCTCATTTAATACCAATGGCCGAGTGTGAGCTTTAAAAGCTAGTCACTCTATGAAAATTCACTTTTGTGTGTGTTTAGTTTTTGATTTACATGTACAAAAGCATATCAGGGGATCAACTATTTCTTAAATTCAATTCAACCATGTTTGGAATGTGCATCTACACCTTTTTTTACCCAGGCAACATTTACATTTTAGGAAGTGTCAAAAACAGATTCTAAAACCCAACTTTTGTTTATCCAAATGGACCCTTGGTACCCATGGATACATGAGATACGTTGATGATTAGCTGGTCCTGCCTAGAGGGAATAGTTTAAGCTAAAGCCTAAACCAAATGCCATAAGCAAAAGATTTATATTATATATATTATTAAAAAAAATATAACTTTAAGTTCACACTTTACCCAAGTATTGTTATAAATTCTTATACTTTTTTTTAGTGTTATAAGTTTTTACACTTTTATTTTTCAGTGTTCTAGATCTCTATAACACTGATTATGAAAAGACTTAAAATACCAAAAAGTAAAAGCGTAAAAACTTAAAACATAAAAAAAAAAAATACAGTGACTTACAGCAAAACTTGAATAAATTATAGGAATCCAAAGTTATATTTTTTTTTATATTATTACTATCATGCTTTGAAAACCGATTTGCACGGCTTTGGTATAGATCTTAAGTACTATAAACTAAATATTCTTCAATACACAACTTATTAAATATTTCATATTTAATCATTTATAATTTTTTATAAAATTATTTATCGTTTCTTTTGAATTACACTTTATATTTTTTTAATTATTTTTAATATGTTAACATTTTATCTTTATTAAGTTACCTTATTTTTATATTATTATTTAAAATATTTAGTCTAACATTTAAAAGTGTACTAATTTATTTAGAACTAGCTTGATCACGGTTCAATTCAGATCATACCATTAATTTGACGACTGATCTGATTTTTATTAAATTATATATGTACTTAACACTGATGTATGTATTTTGGAACCAAGATCGGATGCGTCGTGGGACAAGAAGTCTTGATCTATTGAATAAGATCCACTATATAAATTGCACAATTTCGTTGAAGTCTACCTGCAATTCTTTCAATAAATTATTAACTAGAGGGTTTCAATCCATGACATTCTTAACTGTCAATTTTTTTAAAATATAACAAGTAAGCTCTGCTGATTATCTGCCTCTAATTTTCTCTATAGTGCTAAAGATTAGCCCACGGGTATGCTCATGGATCACAAAAGTAAGAGTTTTTTTTTTTTTTTTTTGTTTATTTCAAGAGAAAAGACTTACTTTTTATATGGCTAAAGATTAGCTCAGGGGTCCGCCAAAGATCTGTTAATAGTTAATTATATACATACTTTATAGGGAGAATTTCATTTATGACCAAGGTGGGTACATATTTTCTAGAAAAAATATCAATTAAAAATCGTTAGAGAAAATTTATATTAATTAATGATTATTTATTGTTAAAATTTAAATGGATACTTGTTAATTCAAATTAATCTTTTATCAACAAGTATCCATTCAAATTTTAACAACAATTTATTCTAAATTATTAACAGTTCATTTGGGCTTTTTTATTTTGATTTTGATAACAACTAATTCTTGATTAATATAAATTTCCTCCAGCAATTTTTCACCACTATTCTTCCTATTTTCTAATCACACCCAAATATTTTTGAAATAACAATACAAGTTTTAAGGACTACAATGAAATTAAATTTCCTGGCAAGGTGACATATTTACCCATAGTATTTAAACAAAAGTAAATGGCATATGAGAGAAGCCATATTTGCAAGTAAAATTATAGACTTGACAGTAACATAAGACAATTTATAAATAATATTAAATGTCAATGATTTAACAAGTCTTAGATGGTTTTTACACAGGATGAATATTGCACAAGTTATATTCTAGTCTTAAGATTTTACAATTTACAAGTGAAGCTATAAGAGAATCTGTGTTAATTTGAAGACAAGTATATTATCAAGTTTTACAAGATATTTTACTTGTGCAGTTAATAATTTAACAAATCATGTATAAATTTACACTTACAAGTAGTTGACAAGTTATATAAGGCAATCTATAAGTTCTTTTAAAGATTCTATAAATGACATTAGTAATTTAACAAGCTAATCATGAATAGTTTTACTCGAGATAAATATTACATAAATAATATTATAGCCTTAACAAATAATGTAAGGGAAATTATACTTGAAGTTTAGGAAATTTACATTAGTTTAAAGACAGGTACATTATCAGACTTTATAAAAAATTCCATGCTTGCACTTGTGATGGTATGCCAAGATGCACCCTAATGAATCAAACATCCATTTAAATGTACAAAAGAACTTACATATATGACACATTCAAAATATTACAACCCATTACCAAAGAGTATATGGATTGTGTACATGTGCACAATAGTTGTTTCCCCAACTAATCAAAAACTCTAAACTGAGTTACATTAATGTGCGCAATGAAGAGTGCTTGTGCTTTGTTGCAGCGTTGATTTAAACAAACTTTGTATAGGTGAGGGTGGTGATCCACTTTGAATACGAGCAGATAGAGTTGAGCTTTTTATGTCTAGGTCCTATATTGGTGGAGAGAGAGAGCTTTTATCCAAATGTATTTGACCTATCCTACAATCAATAAATTATATTAAATAATTAACAAATCATGTCAGGAATTTAACAAGTAATTTTACAGCCAAAGGTAAAATATTAAAATATAATACTCCAACATCTAATTCTGAACATTTTATAACTGTCCCAGCATCAAACTCCTTGTAATCAATGTACGTAAATTCAGATGTATTAATTCAATGCATGTACAAATTACTTCCTGCAGACTTATGACCATTAGAAACTAATATTTCTGATTATTCCAACACCATTAATACATTTTTAATGCATGTAGTTAACTCTATATAAGGACAAAATGCTTCTCAAGAATCAAATGCAGCTTCCTTACCAAAGCAAAGTGAAAGAATCCACCAGAAGCAAAAGGTAATGGGATTCCTTAGCTCAGACCTACGTAATGGAACCCTGGGCAAAGTAAACGCATAACGAAAATCACAATCCCTAATTAAAGAAGCAAAACTCCAATTTCTTGGGCTTGAACTTGAACTATAGGCTGCCATCTCGACTTCCCTCCAACTGCAAAAGCAAATGTATCTGACAAGTTATATCAGGGGTAAGCCATCATTTAAAACCTCACATGCCCAAACAGATCGAAGAAATAGCCCAAAACTATCAAGGGCTTGCCATTAACATGACTTCCAACACTGGCTTTTTTCGTGAATGATGTTATGTAATGTTATGAGGCGCTTTATCAAATCTTTCTAGTTTTCTTATATAAATAAATAATTTATTTTCACATTTTTCATCTTTGTTTTGTGCGTGAATATAAAAGATAATTAATATATTATTAAAAAGTTAATTAATTTTATACAATTAACTTAAGATAACTGTTCTTATAAATAAATATTATATGATACTTAACACTTTCCCTATATACAATCAATTCCCAAACCTTTTTTATAGACCATTTTTTCTATTATACAATTTTTTAAGGTTTTTTTAAAATTTTGATGACAACTCTTATTTTTTTATATTTATCAACCTTTTCTCATTGAAAAAGTTACAATTAGGGCATGACAGCATTGGAAGAAAGAAAGAAGCGAGAAGTAGGGACGGTGATAGCTGTGGAGGAGGAGGAAGAGCGAGAGAAGAAGACAGTGGCTAAGCCTCTTAGTCAAGCCTCTTTTTTTTTTTTTTTTTATGAATATTTAACTGAAGGTAATATGATCATTTAATTAATAAAATTTATTTCATTTGAATCTCGTTAGCTTGCAGTGAATTTTCGGTGCTTTTTGAACCTCATCTATAATTAAATCTTATTTATGATCCTATAATAAAATTCTCCCTAATTTATATAATTATATTGATAATGATTTTCTTTTGGCCAGAATATAGATAATGATTGATGCTACAGATAAATTGTATAAAAAACTTTATTACAATAACGATTTAAAAAAAGCATTATCGTCCCAGGTCCATCGCCAATCATAGCCTAAGCTTTGAAGCAAATATAATGACTAGATTATGAGTTGCGTCCACCAAAGCGCCTCTGCCTCTGTTGGAAGGAAGCCAAGGCTTCCACAAATTGCTGCTTCCCAAAATCAGGCCACAGGGCTGGATCAAAGACCAGTTCTGTGTAGGCCAATTGCCACAGCAAGAAGTTGCTGACTCTAAGTTCTCCACTGGTCCGAATCATAAGGTCTGGGTTTGGGAACTCCGTGCAACTGGTTTCAAGTTCTTCCTCAATCAGGCTCTCGCTGATGTCTTCTGGTTCC